GGTTTTTTGGGGAAGGGGAAGGGGGGGGGGTCCCAGCCACGGATGGGCACGGGGCGGCCTCAGTCGACACCAAACAGAGCCATTTCCACGCTTTATTGCAAAAAGCTCCCCCGCGGGCTGGCGGGTGACGTAGAAAGCCAAAAACTGGGAAAACCCACTCATTTTCACACGCCAAACAACGCCTGAAGCGCAAAGAAAACCTCCCAAAATAGGGTAAAACAAAGAAATTTGTGGGTTTTCTTATTAAAAAACCTCACCGTTATGGCCGCCTCACCACACAGCTGCCTCCATCCCCATTGTCTCTTTTTGGGGGAGAAAAAACGTCTTGTCAGGGTTTGCAGCGATGCCGGACAGGCACAGGGTGGAGACACCCAAACAACGCCTGAAGCGCAAAGAAAACCTCCCAAAATAGGGTAAAACAAAGAAATTTGTGGGTTTTCTTATTAAAAAACCTCACCGTTATGGCCGCCTCACCACACAGCTGCCTCCATCCCCATTGTCTCTTTTTGGGGGAGAAAAAACGTCTTGTCAGGGTTTGCAGCGATGCCGGACAGGCACAGGGTGGAGACACCCCTCGTGACGTTGTCGGAAACAAATTTGGGGGGAAACAAATAAACTTCAGTAAAACCCCACCGTGGCCATTTTAGGTTTCGTTGCATAATGAGCTGCAGCCTAAACCCATGAGCGGCGGATTGAAGGTGTTGCTTAAATTAAGGCAATTCTGTGATTTTTTTGGAGCCCCCGAGGAGTTTTTTAGAAGATTTTGGGTTGCTTTTTTTGGAGGTTGCTCTGAAATCCTTAAAAATTAAGAATCCCCGCAACAAGCGGCCACTCCATAGTGATTATTTACGAAGTTGTTTTGGTGAAAATTCCTAAATACAGGAAAAAAAACCCGGCAGCAGAGGAAAAAAAAAAAATCCCAGAAAAAATAGGGAAAACCCTCCTCTATATGGAGTTCTCCAGGTGCGAATTCCTAAATACAGGAAAGAACCTGCAGAGGAGGGAAAAATAGGGGAAAAAAGAAGAGGTTTTGGTGCTGGTAGGAGATGGAGAGCAATGATTTGGCCTCGCACCTGCCAGCTTTGCGGGCAGGAGCAGGCAGGGATGCCTGGCGGGCAGGAAATCCAGCGGGAAGGGCTTTTCCCCTCTTCACTCCACCATTTTCCCCATGGGATTAGTGTTTCCCTGTGAGATTAAGCCTTTCCCCACGGGATTAAGCATCTCCCCCTGCAATCAGCGAGGAGGAAGGCAGGATGAGACTCTGCCGGCTCTTGAGGGTGAATAAACGGGATGGGGGACAGCAGGGGTGACCGTCGGGAGGGGACAGGACAAGCGGAAAACCGTGCGGGAAGATGTGCCGCGGGATCAATCCGGTTTCTTCCCCAGTCGTTTAAAGACGCTAATGGTGCCGGCACTGTCCATCTGAGCGCCGGGGGTTTCGCTGGTGCTGCTCACCTTCCCGCACCCCCAGGTCCTTTTAATCGTCACCCGAAATTCGGGTTCACTTTTATCCTTCGTGCTGGTGACATCGCCGTCCTGGGCTTCAACCGGCATCGCAGCAATGCTGATGACGCCGCCTTTGGATGCTGTCGGTTGCGGTTTCACCGCCATGTGAATACCGGCGGTGCTCCTGTGACCGAGCCGCTGGATGGCGGTGGTGACAGTGACTGGTTTGGCTTCTGAACTGGTGGCTTTCGCTTTGATGGTCCCTCCCAGCTCCGTGCTTTCCTTACGGGGAGGTTTGGCGAGTTTTTTTAGGACACCGGCGTACTGGAGGACAGAACAGTCATCGTCGCTCTCAGTGGCTTTGTCCCCATCGGTCCCCAAGGCATCACCCAGTCTGCTGAAGACCCCTGTGGGCTGGGAGACAAGGGTGGGGGAACCTGTCAGCACCTGCACCCCCATTTTGGGCGCTCGATTTACCCTCCCCTTCCCCTTTGCCCCCTGAATTCTGCCGCCATGACAGAGGCAAGATGGATGCTGACCTCACCCGCAAAGTGTTTTGGGGTGTAATAATGCAAAATGCTGCCTGCTGCAATTAAATTAATGATTAGGCTATCAAACGGGTCTAGAAATCACCCATAAAATCATATTCCCTCTTATTTTTCTTGAGGGGCTGAGTCTGCAACTTGTTTTACATCCCAAAACTTCCACGCTGAGGTTTTTAGCTCCAGAGGACAGAAAAAACCTCCTGTATTCTCCATTAAAGGGGTCAAAATAGAAGTGCGGATGGGGATCACCCAGGGATTGGGGATCCGCTTGCCTTTGGTGGCTCCATCCTGCGTTTCCCCACCATTTTCCAGTTATTTCAAGGTTCCTTCAGCCCCCTCGTGGCGAGTAGGTGGCTGCAAATTCCAAAATAATCTTCAAGGAGGGGACCCTCATGTCGGGATTTCGGTGAGGGTTGGCACAGCCGCCAAGAGCGACGGCTAAATGGAGCCGCAGCCGAAAACCCACATCCTCTCACCTTCCCTCCTGTGGTTGTATCCGCTTTTGCCTCAGCTCCCAGCCGGTCGAAGACGGATGTCCTCTGCAGACCTGCAGTTTTCAATAAAATGTTGGTTTTTTTGAGGTTTCCCTGGAAAACGAAGCTACGCTTGGTCAGCGCCGAGGGCTCGCGGCCTTTCAGCCCCGTCCTACCGTCAGGGCACGTGGCAAAATAAAAACCACTCGATAAAAGCGTGCGAACGGCCACCCATCCCCTTCTTCCTAAGGCTTAAACAGACGCGAGCGGAAACTTGATGGCTCGCGGTGAGTTAATATATCCTTGGAATAACACAACTTCTACCCATAACGCTCTGGATATGAAAATCCCGGTGGGATTTGTAATGATGGACTAAATTGGGACTAAACTGGGTTTCAGGAAGAGAAAATGAAGATCAAAACCCCCCCGCTGGTACCTTTGGCCGCTTGCTGCTCCAGGATTTTCTTTGTCCGCGGTGTGGTGCCCTTGGGCATGTTGATGATGTATTTCCCTTCCATTTCCGCTGTCACCCGGCGGCGTTTTACTGGGATTGTTGGACTTTCATCTGCTGCGTCGCATCGCATAAACCTGGCGGGATGAAGGGAGAGCGAATTGGGAGCTCTTGTTGCAACAAGACTTAGGGGGTGGAAGGGTTTGATGAGCGGTGTGATGCAGCGTCCTTGTCCAGGTGTCACCTGTGCGTTCATCTTCCCCATTCTCTATCGGCACCACCAGGTATGGGGACACAGGGGGAATATGGGGGTCTGGGAAGGGTTGAGGGGTACCCCCATGCCCCCCCCAATGTCCCCAATTGCCCCCCCATGTCCCCAGTGTCCCCAGGCCTGGCTTGATGAGTACGTGAGTCTGGTGAGGAACCGCCTGAGTCACCTCTGAGCCACGTGAGGGCACCCCTTGCCCCCCCCAAACCACTCCCTGCACCCCAAACTGACTGCACGTCCACTCGATCCCACTGTCTGTGTCCCCAACAAAGATGTTAAATCATACTGGTCCCAGTACGGACACCTGAGGGACCCCACTCATCACCGGCCTCCACCCAGACGTCGAGCTGGAGGGCGACCATGCAGCCAATCCCTTACTGACGGAGGGTCCACCCCTCAGATCCGTGTCTCTCCATTTTGGAGACGAGGATGCTGTATGATTAGCTCAAAAAAGCCATAGCTGGATCCAAAGTGGCTGTTAAAATTCGACCAGGGTGCGGGGTTGTGTCGTGTTTAATGGGAAACAGAAAGGAAAAACCAACTTTTGGCATCGTTTCTGCTGCGGATCCGTCACCCTCCCTACCTGCCTTCGCAGCGGCCAGTTTGTTGGAGACGGTGACGGAGATTTTGGAGGCGTGGGGCCGTTGTCGGAGCGGGGTGGCGGGAGGCGAGTCTCTGCTCAAGCTGTTGGCGATCATTCGGCTGGCGGCTGGAAGAGGAAAGCAATGCAGTGAGGGAGAGGTTTTAAACCCTGAGGGGCATGGCGAGTGCGACAAACGTCCATCTTGTCGGCTAAATTAAAGAACAGTCCTTCCCCAGGATTGTGGGGAAGGCAGCTATCGTTTGAGCCTTTCATTTTCGATGTAATTAATGCAACTCATTAATCAGGTGAGGGGATCTAATCTCCCAAAAACGTCCTGCCTGCGCTTACCACTGTTGGCGTTCCGGCGCAGCTCGGCTTGAACGTTGGGGGAGCCAGGGCAGAGCAATTCGGTGGCCGCCTTGCACATCTCCTGAAGGAAAAAACACAGACGAGGGCTTTCCCTCGAGCTCTTCGGAGATGAATGAGGAGCACTTTGCTGCTAAATGAGCCGGTGAGGCTTTACCTGTGCTGACGTCAGCGTTACCATACCTGCCTGTACACGATTTTGGCGTGTTTGAGGATGGCGATGATGTCTCCCACCACTGTGATGCCCAGCTCGTTCATGATCTCCTTGTTCAGATCCATCAACATGTTCTTCTGGATCCTGCAGTGAGGAAAGACCTGGCTTAACGAGGTCTCCCCTCGTTACAAGCTCTGATTAATTAAGCCTTGAGCGAGTGCACCATGATATCCCCAAGCTAGGTTCGGACACCGCTGCCCTAGTAGAAACAGCACTGATAAAAAAAAAGTTCAGAGCAGAACAACAACTAACATAACTAATTACGGAATGGGATAATTGAGTAATTCTTTCCTTCCACCTCACTGAGGGAGATCTTTTGGTGCTATTTTCCCCCCATGACACGATGAAAAGGTGCTGTCTCATCGCTGACCTCACCTGTTATCCACAAACATGACAGCATAGTTGACAGCAGGGCCTGGGGGGATCCCGGCTTCCTTGAAAAACTGAATCCATTCTGATGTCGCTGAAAAAAAAAAAGGTGAAAAAGGAAAAATTAAGCAGTTATAGAAAAGGGGGTGGCGGCAGTCGCCTGGGTTTCGGTAGGCGCTGGCCGAGAGGCTCATTCCATGCGTTTGCAGCTGTCGTCGTGTGATTAACAGGATCAGGAGGAAAAGGACTCCTGGCATGGCAGTGGGGGGGGAAGGCAGGGGGTGGTCTCACAGATGAAAATACAAGATTTGAATGGTTTTAGAGCAATTTAGGGCGATTTTGGGCGGCAGAGGGGAGGAGGGGGTAGAAGGGCACGCGGGGAGGGAAATGTCCCTTA